CACCCCCCCCGGTTGGGGCGTCTCCCGAGGTGCCCGTGTCTCCTCACATAGCTGCGGCTTGCTCGTGTCGGTCCCTTACTCACCCGACACTCCTGTGCCACCACAGTCTAGGAAAACCTGCCCTCCCTTGTCTTTGTCACATATCGCAGCACGGTCTTGTCTTCGGTCTTCCTAGGTCATTCCTCAAGCTCCCCTCCTCACCCGCGCTGCCGTACACCCCCTGCATCGAGGGCCAGCTCTGCCGTGCCCCTCACTTCTCCTCGTTCCCCCCCACCACCGCACCCTTGCAGACTTTGCACATGGACGTCTGGGGCCCTGCCCCCATCCATGGGCCGCGTCGTGAGCGTTACTTTCTCGTCCTTGTTGACAACTTTACTCGTTACACCACTGTGTTTCCCTTGGAGCGGAAGGCCGACGTGCCTGACGTTCTTATCTCATGGCTTGGCTCTCCGAGTGTGCATTGTAGTCTCCCTGTGTTGCGTCTCCACCATGACCGCGGTGGCGAGTTCGCCTCAGGTTGCCTTGGTCGTTTCTGTCGTGCGGAGGGCATCATCCAGACGTTCACCTTGCCGGACTCCCCGCAGCAGAATGGGGTTGCTGAGCGACGCATCGGTTTGGTCAGGGAGGTGGCTCGTACCTCTATGATCCATGCCGGTGCACCCCATTTTCAGTGGCCTTTCGCCATTCGCTACGCCGCTCACCAGCTTAACCTGTGGCCGCACAAGTGACGCATCTGCGTTTCACGTCTGGGGTTTGCCTTGCCCACGTTCATGCCTGTGGCATGGACAAGCTCACTGCCCGCACAGTCCCGTGTGTGTTCCTAGGTTTCCCCCTCGACTCGTCTGACTGGCACTTCTACCACCCCCCGTCCCACCGTTCCTTTCACTCTCGCGACGTCACCTTTGACGAGTCCATCTCCTTCTACCGCCGCTTTCCCCACCGTGGTCCCCCGGTTACCCCCCCTGTTCCTGGTCCCTCCTCCCCCGGTCGCCCCTGCCCCCCCTCCTCCCCTCCCTGCCCCGTCTGGTGTGTCTCACGTTACCCCCCTTGCGTCGGTAGTCCTGCTTGAGGAGTCGGCTGACTCTGGTGGCCCTCCGTTGCAGCCGCAGCCGCCGTCGCAGCCACAGCCGCCACCGCAGCCGCATTCGTCGCCGCCGCCGCTGCCGCTGCCGCCACCGTTGTCGCTGCCGCGGCAGCAGTTCATTCCTTCTGGGGGTGCTGGCGTTGAGGAGGGTGCTAGTCCTGGGGCTCCTGTCGTGGCTTGTCCCGGCAGGCTTGGGGGTGGTCCCGATGCAGAGCGAGCTTCTAGTTCTGGGAGTGTTCCGAGTGGAGTGTTCCGGAGGTAGCCGTGGAGCAGCTGGCGGTCCAGGTGTCGGCGTCGTTTAGCCGCCGTAGCAGCAATCCCCACCGGTGTCCCCCCTTCGTCTGCACGGCGTTCCCTCCTCTGACCGCTCATCTCCCCTCTTCTATCGTCTCCTCCTCTTCATGTTTTCGGCCCTGTGTTTCCTCCTCCGGACTCATCTCCGGCTCGCCTTCCCCCTTGTTCTCCTCCTGTTACTCCTCCTCTGTCTCCTGACCCGACGCCTCCGTCCCACGTCTGGTCTCGCCGTCCCTCTTGGGCTCATCCTGTCTCTCCTGTTCCTCGTTCTCACCCTATGTTGCTTCGTTCCTACGTGTCACGTCCTCCCCTCATGCCGTCGCCTCCTCTGTCCTCCCTTGTCGTCGCGCCTCCCCTTCTGTCTCACTACCTTCGCGCCGCTCGTCCTCTTGTTCCTCGGGTCCTTGCCTCCCTCGTTACCGACCCGTCTATTCCTGTTTCACGTCTTGACGCTCTTGTGGCTGCGGTTGCTGACTTCGCCTCTACCCGCCGCCTTGACTACGCCACTGCTCTGGTCTCTGACCCTGCCTGTCCTTCGTCCGTCGGGGGTGCTCCTGCCCTCGGCAGTGACGTCTTGGAGGACCGGCAGTACGAGCTTGCTTTCCTGTCCGAGGCTGCTCCCCATCTTTGCTCCATGCTGCTAGTTCCTGAGGGTGACCCAGACGCCTTCGATATCCCGACCCCTCGCACCTACGCTAGGGCCACCTCGGGACCCTGGGCCGCTCAGTGCATAGCGGCCATGGAGCAGGAGATGGCATCTTAGAGATCCACCGGCACCTACGTCGACGCAGTTCCCCCACCTGGGGTGAACGTAGTTGATGGCCGCTGGCTCTTCAAGGTGAAGCGCCCCCCTAGAGAGCCGCCTGTGTTCAAGGCACGCTACGTGGCTAGAGGCTTCAGTCAGCGTGAGGGGGTGGACTTCTTTCAGACCTTTGCGCCGACCCCGAAGATGACTACTCTTCGGGCGCAGCTACACGTAGCAGCACAACGCGACTACGAGTCACACTCCCTCGACTTCTCCACAGCTTTTCTTCAGGGCAGCATATACGAGCAGGTCTACCTGCACCACCTGCAGGGCTTTACTGGTACCTTCCCTCTTGGAACCCAGTGGCTCCTGCGGCACCCAATCTACGGCCTGCGACAGGCGCCCCGTGAGTGGCAGGACACGCTGCGTGCTACCCTAGCTGACCTGCAGTTCTTCCCGTCCTCTGCCGACCCCTCACTCTTTGTTCGTGCTGGCCAGACCCCGTTCTACGTCCTTGTTTACGTAGACGACCTGGTTTTCGCTACTTCAGACAGGGACTCGCTGGCCATCGTGAAGGCAGAGCTGCTGAAGAAACACACCTGCACTGACCTAGGAGAACTGCGCCACTACCTTGGCCTGCAGATCTCCAGGGACAGAACAGCGCGCACCATCACACTCTCACAGTCACACTTGGTGCGCCAGGTCCTTCAGCGGTTCGGTCTTCAGTTTTCCTATGCACAGCCCACACTTCTGCCGGTGGACCACAGGCTCTCAGCTCCTGTTCTTGAGGAGTCAGTCGAGCCCAGCGGTCTGTACGCGGAGCTGGTGGGTTGCCTCATGTACCTGATGACTTGCACTCGCCCAGATCTCGCATACCCTCTCAGCATCCTGGCTCGCTTTGTGGCCACAGGCAGACACCGACCACAGCACTGGTTTGCCGCTAAGATTGTTTTGCGTTATCTTGCAAGTACATCAGGCATGGGGCTAGTGCTGGGAGGTCGCAGGCCAGTGGTCCTTACCGGGCACAGAGACGCTTCTTGGGCAGACGACGCAGAGACTCTCAGTTCCTCTCAGGGCTATTGCTTTAATAGTGGTTCAGGCTCTGTTTCGTGGAGAGCTACCCACTCCTCGTCTGTTGCCCATTCCAGCTGCGAGTCATAGATCTACGCCGGTGCCATGGCAGCACATGAGCTCCGCTGGCTGACCTTCTTGCTCACTGACTTATGTGAGCGGCCTAGCTCGGCCTCGGTCGTGTACGCTGACAACAAGGCCATGATCCTCCTGTGTCAGGAGCCTCGACTTGAGGGCAGAGCGAAGCACATCCAGCTGCGGTACTTCCTCCTGCGCGAGCTGCAGCAGCGCCGCCATGCCCTCGTAGTACAGTTGGCCTCCGGTGCCAACACAGCTGATATCTTTACGAAGGCGCTTGCGCCTAAAGGTCATCAGCGGCACTGTGTTCAGCTTGGTCTTGTTCTTGTAGCCTCTCATTTGCTAGGACCTTGATTGTGTACTGACCTTTATATATATATATCTTACCCTGACTGGCCTTGTGGCCTCTCCCAGTGGCTGGACTAGTAGTGCCGCCCTAGTCTTGCTCCTGTTTCGTCTGTACTCCATTTGACTCGGTTTTAGACCCTTGCCTCAGAGGCTGGACTAATAGTGCCGCCCTGAGTTGCTTGTTCTCTTGTTAGGCACTGCCCTTGTGTAGTCTAGGGGGTGTGTCAAACATAACATAATATGTTATTGTAGACTATATAGGTTTGTGCCTTAGAGGGTACAAGACACTAGCATATATTGCCTTGTAATCTCACATTCTAGTTCATTCTTTCAGTTTGAGAACGTGTTGTTAGCAAGGCCTACCTCTCCTTGCATCCTCTCCTAGTATATAAATATTTGTTTAAATACAAGTACCTTACTTTTATATGCAGGGGTGTGTGCTGGGGGTCTTCTTGTTTCGGTCATTCTCGTTATGTGGAGAATTGGTTTCGTGGTCGGCCTTCGTCAACAGGGTCAGCCGCTGCGCTGACTCGCCAGACACGCGCACTTGGCGAGATTTTTAGTCCCTTGAGACGCCCTGCTGGCATGCCACGCCCACCCTTCGAAACCCACGGCACCTTGAATATTCTATAGCAGGGTAACCTAGTTTCGCGAGACGCAAGTGTGCGAGAGGTTCTTTCAGAATTTCGAGGGCGTATTTCCAGGTTTGACTGGCAGAAGAATTTTCCGATGCGATTCGAACTGTTTTGCAAACACTTTTCAATGTTCATCCATGCGCCTCGGAGATTGGCCGAACTGCACGCACCACTTGGGCAAGGTGTGACGTGGAGCGGCGACCAACGGCGAATAGTGCCGCCGTCGGGATTTGGCAGGGACACGACCCACGCGAAGACTTTTTAACGCCCAGGGTGAATGAAACCGTCCCACAGCTGCTGGGGGTTCCTTGCAGCGAAACAGACACTGCCAATTCCAGTTCGCAACACCCATGGAGTCCACGCAGGTGCGGTGAGAATACAACGTTTTGCGCAGTTAGGCGGGAGTTTCCGCACGGCTGGCTGTGTGTTTTGACGGGCAGTGGGAGATCATTATTGGCTGCGATTCGAGTCCGTTCGCATTTGTACGCGGGGGGTCGTTAACAAAGGTCGCAACGCACGGTCAGTCGCAGTCGCCCACCAAACCCTCCAGAAACCGAGTCGTATGGGCAATGTCTGTTGTCGGCCCAACCTGGAAATGGGATCTGATTCGAAAGTAAAACAAATTCGCCATCGCCAAGGCGGTTCGCTGGGGTCACCTCCCAGCTCACCTTGCCTCGCTGTTCAGGCAAGACTGGACCTCCCTCTCACAACCTTTTTACCCCTCTTTGCAGAAGTGCTTGTGACTCTTCATTTTGCACCAGCTTCTTGCCTAGACTACTAGGACTAGATTCCTGTTCGCCTCATTGCCTGCCCTAGAAACACAGAAATTTTCTGTTTAACGTTAACAAAATATCGACCACTCACGCCGCCTTTCTGCAGCATCAGTCGTCCCACCAAGCCGCATCGCGCAGTGTTTTTCGAATTATAAGACTGGCCTTCCATCTCCCGATGTGGAGGTGCGCTCTCATGGGACGCCCCATCAGCATAAGTCTCGGCGCACTGTTCGTGCTGACGTGTCTCGCCGCCGTTTCCCCCGTCCGCTGTGTGCCCGACGCCGCCTCCCAAAGTGCGTTTCTTCCAGGGCGAATTCTCGATCTCTGGGAAAAATTCACTGGTTGCGAGCGCAAATGAATGCTGAGTTTCAGGGTGACACGAAGGAATCAAGGCGTTCGCCCACCTCGAACCCCTAGGCGGCCCTAGTAGGTTTCTCACTCGATGGGACTTGAGAGTTCTCGGGAGTAAATGAGATCACAACCGATACTAGTAACTACCGTATAGCCTAAAAAAAAAAAAAAAAAAAAAAAACGCTGTATGTGTTCACAAAATATCTTCATTAAAATGTGGATTTCTCCTACAGTGTGCTGTATTTGTTGTACAGCAAGGCTACTCCGTGGCTACCCGTACTTCTGATCCCGGTATTTGGGACGACGTGTGCTCAAATCAGTAGAAACGCTGTATTTCTTTTTCACTGTAATCTATAACGTCCACACGGACGGAATTACCCCAGAATGTGAGAACGCAATCCGCTGCGCCTCTGGGCAACCCTCGTTTTACCCAGTGGGTAGCGAGGCGTTATACTGGAATCAGAGCCTAGGTTTCGATTCCCAACTGGTCACATTTCCGCTCGAAAGGCGAGAACTCGAATGTGGTAACCACGTCACAAAAATGTGGATCTCTCCTATATTGTAGGTATAGTTGTTCGTATAGCAAGGCTACTCCGTAGCAGACGTACCCATGCCGTACCTACTGTATACCTACTCCGTATTTCTGATCCTGGTATTTTGGGACGCAGTTGCGAACCCAGCTAACGATCCTGTAGCACTGGCCTGAAGCCAGTGAGTTCGTTGCGGAGGCCGACTCCCTGAGCCAACGAGGACGTTGGCACCAGGGGGGACGAGTGTAACGTCTACACGGACGGAATTACCCCAGAATGTGAGAACGCAATCCGCTGGACCTCTGGGCAACCCTCCCTTTACCCAGTGGGGTAGCGAAGCATTATAATCAAGGTATCATTTCTTGTGCCCCTCCCTCCTCCTACAACTTCTCCATCCTGATCCTCCCTCCTGCCCATTTCATCCCTCCTGCTCCTTTAACCCCTTCCCCCTCCAGTGCAACTCCTACTGGACTTCCAGCAGGCATGGGGGCGGACTTTAGATGGGTGGGTGGCTGGGGGAAACTGCAGCACTGCAGAGCATGTGACATGCGATGCACAGGGCATGGTGACCAGCATGTGAGTGCGCCAGCCCTTGCTGGGCATGTGAGTGCGCCAGCCCTTGCTGGGCATGTGAGTGCGCCAACCCCTTGCTTAGCATGTGAGTGCACCAACCCTTGCTTGGCATGTGAGTGCACCAACCCTTGCTTGGCATGTGAGTGCACCAACCCCTTGCTTGGCATGTGAGTGCACCAACCCCTTGCTTGGCATGTGAGTGCACCAACCCCTTGCTTGGCATGTGAGTGCACCAACCCCTTGCTTGTGAGTGCACCAACCCCTTGCTTGGCATGTGAGTGCGCCAGCCCTTGCTTGGCATGTGAGTGCACCAACCCCTTGCTTGGCATGTGAGTGCACCAACCCCTTGCTTGGCATGTGAGTGCACCAACCCCTTGCTTGGCATGTGAGAGCACCAACCCCTTGCTTGGCACGTGAGAGCACCAACCCCTTGGTTGGCATGTGAGAGCACCAACCCCTTGCTTGGCATGTGAGTGCACCAACCCCTTGCTTGGCATGTGAGCTCACCGACCCAGTATGACTCGTTACCCTGCACGCCCTTCCAGAATCCCTGTTTTTCCCCTCTCATCTTCTCACTGATCCACCTTGTCTCACGTAACCAACTCCACACCCCTTCAGGAGATTTTATCGCGCGGGCTTAACCGGGTCTATTCCATCTATCATCAGCAGCATGGTCCGCCTGACTGTCCTGTGAGCACAGTTGATCTGGTACAAGCACGACCATGCACATCTTGGTCAACCAAAATTGCTTGGTTTTAAAGAGGTGGCTAGGAAGTGGGAGATTGAGTTGATTTGCCTTGGCACAAAATTACTGAGTACTTAGGAAGTGTTGTGCGCATCAAGCGCATCAAGCGTTGCGCGCATCAAGCGTTGCATGCATCAACTGTTGCACGCACGCACTGTTTCATGCATCAAGTGTTGCACTTCCCACTGATACATCGCACTATGTTCCATACACAAGGAAACTGTTTCTTAGTCATATATCGTTACGTTTGCGCAACTGCTACTCATGCTTGAGCAGCATCCAGTTACCCATGACTTTATCCGTGGTGCACATTCTTTAATCTAATGCGCAGTTGTTACAATAGTGTGCTGACCAGCCTTCACTCTTGCCGTCACTCTCAGGTGTCTTCGTTTCCTGTTTGACGGCCTCCAGGGATCTCGGTGGCAACCAACTCAGCGACCAGATACCTTCCAGCATTGGTGCTCTCCTAGATCTCCGCTATTTGTGAGCGCATCAATCAGACCGAGAGCGTATGACCCATCACATCGCCTGTCACCAATTCCTGCCATCGTTTTCTGTTACCATTTTGCCCTAGAAAGTTAGTGCTACAGTGTGTAAAACTTATTGGCTTTGGGCGCACATGAGGGCACCTATTGGAATGTGTGGCCTGTGCCACAGTCATATCAATATTCAATGCCCTTTCGTTCGTCCTCTTTCACTTTCTCATCCCTCTCCGTCTAATGTTGGTTTCATTCTCCTTTTGTTCTCTCTACCATGGAACCCTTTGCACGTACCATCAGGAGTCTGGGATATAATGCCTTGAATGGGTCGATTCCATCTACCATTGGCAACATGTGCAGGCTCACGTACCTGTAAGTAGCATAGCAACGCAGAAGTAAACGAATACGGCATAAAGTGAAGTCTCACTTCTTTCTAGTCTGAGCTGAATCATATGGTTCCTCTGCCCTTTAAATCGGCTATGTTCTGAGTACCTTTACCCATCCTTGATGCATTGCTGCTATTGATGGGTGCAGGAGACTGGCCTCGAACTTCCTCTCACAGACCATCCCAGAGACCTTTGGGAACCTCGTCGAGTTGACAAGTCTGTAGGTGCCCTGATTTCAAAGCATTTGAAGGAACCCAGGACTTGATGACCTGAGGGCCTGAAGCGTTGTTTAGAAAATCCAAGGACCTGAGGTCACTCCCAGGGAGAACCTGCTCCCAGCTGAATGTTCTCATTTTCATGCTCTGGCTAGTCTGATTTTACATGCTAAACTAAGGGCAAGCCACGTGCGTGCGATGCTGCCTTTCACTTCTTATACCCACCACCAGATACCTTGGCAACAACAGTTTAAGTGGCGGCATTCCTGACTCCATCAGCAAGCTTGTAAATCTTGAAAACATGTATGTTCTCATCTCCCATGATTAGCGTGTGACTCATAGCCATGTTCCATTTTGCCTTCCCATGAGATCGTTTTCGAATGTACACAGGGGAATACGATACAATTAAACATGGAAGAAATCACCCTACATCGCAAAAAAGGTGTGCTCGCAAAACGTTCGCGAATTATCTGTGCGGATGCTTTGCAAACGTTTTGCGAACAAGTGGGTGTAAATACCGTGCGGACTAAGATTCGAACACTTTGCGAATGCTTGGACAACATTTGCCAAAACACTCCGCGCGAGCATTCGGAAACGATGGGCGGTGTTGTCTCGAATGCAATATAGTGTTTCGTCAAATGCATTGCAATGCATATTTTGATGCTGCTTTGGATTTGTATGAAAATGATTTTGTATTCTTGCCATCCATTCTTTTTGTTCTGTTGACCATTGGTGTATCAAATGATGTTATTCATAAAAGTAAATGTACCACCATTACAAACGATATACACAATTTCTACCAGTGGTTACCAACCTAATTACCTAGAAATATGCAAGCCCCCAACAACCTAATAACGTATGCAGCATGCCCGTCCCGCACTACCACGAACAGAAACAGAGCGGCGGCACACCAACGACGTTGCCGACAACGTAAATTCTTGACGCCGACTTGCTATTCCTGCATGTGAAGTAAGAATTCATTTCAAAGTAAGCCCAATGTCCAAATTACCAACATAATAACAATTCTTACTCTGGGAAAGTAGCGCGGCCTTGGTAATAAATTCCTGCGCATCAGGTTCAACCATTTGTTAAATTCCAAACAACCAGACTTTCAACACGAGGCTTACGAGGGGTGCCTCGAGGTTGGCTACAAATCTCTGCACGTCAGCTTAGACATTGTCGTGAAATTAGTCCGACGAATAAACGATTGGCGAGACTAAGAGACGTGCTTACCGGAAGAATAATCTTTATGCTGGACTGAGTTACATGGCTTGCTGCGATAAAGACGAGCATCGTGAGCACACAGGCAAAACATAGTTAGATAGAAACTCCAGTTAACAAATGCCTTCAACCCCGAAGACGTATTAGCTCATGAACCTGCCAATAAGAAGGACAATTGTGAACAACAATAGCCACTTACAAGCTAATTAGTACCAGAAGATTAAAACGATAGAAATAACAGCTATCGCGAAATGACATACTCATGTTATCGTAAACCAAGAACGACCATGGTAACTGGTTAAAGTCTGGCAGAGGAAGAAGCTAATCACTAAGGGGGTGCGAAGGCAAGAGGGGGGGCTGAAACTGATACAGATTGAACTGCCGATGAATAATACTGTAAGAAAAGTCTAGCTGAAAGACATCAGTGGGCGCAAGGGGGCAGATAAGGAAGGATCAGAAGTCTGTGCTGGCAAGGATTGCTGGCATGTGAAGTGTGCAACGTGGTGGGCTGGGTGGTTGGGGCGAGCAGGGGGTTGAGCTGGATTTAGCCGTGCTGGAATCGCTCGGCCGATTTCGATTGGTTGGGCGAGGTGCATGGGCTGAGTTGGTTAGGGAAATTGGGTTGGGATTGGTTGGAACAAAGTGCAGGTATGGTAGGGGGTGGGAGTGTGGTTGGGGCGTGTTTCTATATGCACGTCATGTTGTGAATCGGGGCGTGTTTCCATGTACACAAATATTAAGCAAATATTTCTGGATTTCAGGTTACGCGCGCGCTAGAATACGCTGTAATTTGCGATTCAATTTGGTTCAGTTCGGTATCTCAAAATTTTGTCTAGCTGGATTGGAACCGCGATTCTGTTGGACTACGACCTTATAAGCAGTTGGAAGCAGGGTAGTGAAACCAGCAACAAAACCAATTTTAGATGTTATATTTTAAAACATTTAAATATAAAGTAGATACGCACTGCAGATAGTAAGTCATAATCTACACATGTGAAGAGTCGGGTTCGATCCCTGGGAGAACCTCGTTTTTGAGTAATTTTTGCACGTAGCATAGTTGGAAGATCCGAGTTCGAATCTCGAGGGGAACAAAATAAAACCATCTCTTGAAGAGATCAATACCTTACTTTGCACTTGCTGTTTCTACAAAGACATTGCCCAAATTAGAAGTAGTAGTACGTTTACTATCATAAAAATATCATAAACACACAATTCGTTTATTTTAACATTTCAGCTTCCCCGGATCGATGTTATAAACTTTGTACAAGTTTTAGTGTAGACTGACCGATTCTGTATGGAAATATAAGCCATCAGAACAAGATTATTATCAAGGTGTAACATTTACAAAACAACTCATTCGCGAAACAACTCATTCGCGGAAGACTCGCAAACCATTTACGTTAAACGAAACAGGAAAAAAACACTTGGCGAACACCTGGCGGACGATTTCCGACTATGCGGCCAGCTTCGAATGGCGTAAACGATCCGCTAACGTTGCACTTTTTGCGATGTATTGGTGGAGTCCTATGCAAGGGACCATTTAACATTGACTTGGAAAAATAGCGAAGTAAATGTAAAGAGATGAAGACATAGTAGTAGCTTGGGTTTTCATTGGAGTTGTTAGCCTCTTATTCACAAAAGAGAAAGGAACTTGACTCAGTCGATACTACTGTAGCATGGTGGCAAAATTAGAGCATTTCCCAATCACTATTGGGAGAAGTGTTTGTAAGAGCTGGTTATAAAAGCCTCTTTTGACTGCAAAGCAAATTGCATCCGGCCTCTTACCTATCCTTTAAGGTTCGAACTCAACCATTTGCAATTGTGTTGACGCCTGGTTCTTTTTACTCGTGCGATCAGAAGAGTGTCATTACACTTTAGCTCCGTTATAGCCTCATATTGTCTTCTTTACCGGTCTGGTGTACCTGTCAGTATTACTGCTATACATCGAGCAAAATTTTATGGTTACAACAGTGTTTTTGCTGCCGCAAACTTCATACGACTTGATCTCCATGATGCAAGTGTTTGCTGTTGCTTTGGCGATAGGTGCATGAGATCACATCTACCCACGCAGAAAAGGTTCCTTGTTTCCTGGTACTAGCTTCTGAGATTTCCCAGCCTCATCTTACCTAATGCCATGTCTCCACACTTGCACACCCCTATCGTATGCATGACTCCTTGTTCATCAGAGGGTTCGAAGACAACAATTTCAATGGCACCCTTCCCGAGTCCCTTGGCAGGCTCAGCAACCTGAAATCACTGTGAGGATCGTGATGGGACAATTGACATATGTGCCTATCACATGGTTGAATTCCTCCGTCACTGTAATTTTGCGGATGTTAACCCCAAGTGAAGAAATCATGGATCTGTTACTGAGGAGACGCAGGGGAACTTGCTGTTCAAAAACATGTTCATAGCTGATAGCATTCATGAAGTACCAGATTGTGTGTATGTATTTAGATCTTCAGATACTTAGTTGGAGCGTCAAGCATTCATCACTTGGTTAAGTTAGCCCGTAGAAATCTGGACTGTCATTTCATGATGGAGTAAACGCATCTAGTCTCATGCTCATGTATCCTCTTGCCGATCCTTGTAATTGCTGTAACAGCAGCAGTCTCATCCGTGTTGTACTCCTCCACAGGCTCATGCGCCACAAATTCATGTATCAGTTGTGCTAGTACATTACGAAAGGTGCACTCTTCCTTCCTACCCTCACAGATACAATTTTTCTGTCATATACCCAAAATCCACGTCATTCCATTTTCAGGCGTGTCAACAATAATGGCGTCAGTGGCTTCATCCCATCTACTATTGGGAACCTTGTGGATCTGAGATACTTGTAAGAATTATTGTAGACTGCCAAAAGTATACAAATTTCACATGACACGTCACAATGTTTTCAGGTCTGCTCTTCTTTTTCTGGAGGGGGGAAGGGGGGGGGGGGGGGGGGGTGTGGAATATTTGTTTTTTGCACCTCGTGTTTCTTTATATCTGAAACCGTATTATGGCAGACATGTTGAGCAGACCAGCTTGAGTGGAGAGCTCCCTGCCACGCTCGGCCTCCTGGCCAGCCTAACGATCCTGTATGTCATGTATGTTACATTGGCAGCGAAGAGACCTTGGATTGTTCTCTGCCTGGCCTCATGTCTGGGCGGGGAAAAGCATGTATATGGTCAAAGAAAAATCTGCCGATGTGACATGCTTTGAACCTCATACAGTGGATACAGTCCATGGCCGTCTAGGGATGCTCATTCTCGTGGAGATGATGCTCCCTGCCGCAGTTCCTTCAATTGGTTCTTTCGATTAGTTCCTTCGACTGCACTGTGCATTTCCTCAACACCTGACGTGCTCAACGCATGCAGGAACATATCTGGGACAGCGATCACATGCCCGCCTGACAACAACAGCTGTGTGGTCCCAAAGAAAATTTCCAGCGCCTTTTGCGAGCAGTGCAGCTCCTTCTGTCTCACCTGTACCATGGCACCACCGCCAGCAATAACTTTCACACCACCCTCGTCTCTCGAAAGTGAGTTGCCACCTCCCCCACATCAACCCGCTCAGCGTGGGCTCTCTCCTGTGGATATCCCCCTTTATGTCTCCCTTAGATATCCTATGAGCCGAGCCCAGTATTCTGTCATCTGGGATGGCTGTGGCATGGGTTCCACGTGTCCATCCTACACTTGTGCCATTGCTCCATTCGATGGTATGGAGCAGTGGCTACACCGTTGAAGTTCCCCCATCATGTACTCGTGTAAACGACTACATGATGCGAGCATGAATGTGGTGTCAGAGAAGGAGTGGAAGGGAATAAGGTGATGCATGCTGGCCCACAACCTCCTGCTATTCCCTTCTTCCAATCCCAATTCCTCCCGGTCCTCCCTTCTCCCCCTCTCACCCCGTCTTAATCCCCTTTCCTGATCCTCTCCCTCCTCCCTTCCGCCTCCAGTGCAACTCCTACTGGACTTCCAGCAGGCGTGGGGGCGGACTTTCGATGGGTGGGTGGCTGGGGGGAACTGCTGCACTGCGGAGCATGTTAGTTGCGATGCCCAAGGCATGGTCACCAATATGTGAGTGAACCAACCCTTGCTTGGCATGTGAGTGCACCAACCCTTGCTTGGCATGTGAGTGCACCAACCCTTGCTTGGTATGTGAGTGCACCAACCCTTGCTTGGCATGTGATTGCACCAACCCTTGCTTGGCATGTGAGTGCACCAACCCTTGCTTGGCATGTGAGTGCACCAACCCTTGCTTGGCATGTGAGTGCACCAACCCTTGCTTGGCATGTGAGTGCACCAACCCTTGCTTGGCATGTGAGTGCACCAACCCCTTGTTTGGCATGTGAGTGCACCAACCCTTGCTTGGCATGTGAGTTCACAAACCCATGCTTGACATGTGAGCACACTAACCCAGTATGACTCTTTTCCCTGCACGTCCTTGGAGAATCCCTTTTTTATCCCTCTTCTCTCCTCCATCACCCCCCTTGTCTAATGTAACCAACTCCACACCTGTCAGGGATTTAGAGTTACAAGGGTTGACGGGATCCATCCCATCTACTATCTGCAGCATGGTCAGCCTAACAAGCCTGTGAGTAACTCAAAATCCGTATGTATGTCCTGTGCGTATGGGTCAACCAAAACAGTTGGATTCATGATGCAGCCGTAAGATGTAGATGAGTAGATTCTGTCCTTGTAATTGTCCTTTTCTGAATGTTTTCTTGCGTTTTTGTCTCCTGTAATCGTCCTTTTTTAAATGTTTCCTTGCCTTTTTGTCTCCTTATAGCGATATTTATTCTGGAAGGGAAGAGATGGACAAACATGGTTTCCCAAAATGTTCAAATATTGTTGCGAGGGATCTGTAAAACTGCAACCACCTCCAGATTGGGGTGGATTGGTGGTAGAAGCAATCCACAAGAATTGGATGCACCAGCCAATCTCTAGCATCCTTATACCCTTGCTTGCCTCCTTGTGCCGTTTGTCCTTATGTTCTACTGCCACCTTGCCCCTAAATGCTACATGCTATATATATGGTACTGTGGTTGAATATCCTTCAAGGACCCACTCGTCTTTCTTCTCACACATTCTTGACCTTGATTGAGCAACGCTTCCTTGTCATCACTCATCCTTGACTCTCTCGTCTTCCCTTTCCCTTCGCATGGTCTTCAGACGTTTAAAATGGAACAACCTTAGTGGCTCGATACCCTTAGGCATCGGCAATCTCCTCGACCTGTACTATTTGTGAGGATATATGTAGCCCTTTGTTATTACTGTTTCATTTTAATTCTTTCGGTTGCAAGAGTAAAAAAACTGTGAGAGTACTTACCGTGAATTAAATGATGGCTCTGCATGCACCTGAATGCATTCGATGGGATGTGCTGCTTGTGTCCCAAAAGAGCATCATTATGTTGCACCCTTTTCATCTTTCCCCTTCGTTCATACACCCCCCATCGATCGGCCATGGGAGCCTTCGCATGCACCACCAGGGATCTGAAGGGTAATCATTTGACTGGGTCTATTCCGTCTACCATTGGCAGCATGACCAGCCTTGAATTTTGGTAAGTGTGATAGGAACACAACTAAACTTGCATGTTTGGTTTGAATGGCATTATTGCATGATATTGACAGAAGCAAAATGTTGTTTCTCACTACTATTTGATCAAGAGTCAACGCACGTTTTCTGTGTGTTCCTTGTCTTGAGGCAGTTATACCAATTATACCAGTGTCATGTCCTTCTCATCTCCCCCCTCCAACGTCCCCTCCATTCCTTCCCCGCATCAATTTATCAACCTATGGAATTGTTTCCGTGCACCATCAGGAATCTTGGATGGAACGCCTTGACTGGGTCTATTCCATCTACCATCGGCAACATGAGCAGCCTCCATCACCTGTTAGTACCACGGGCACACAATTGGACTTGCATGCTTTTCACTGAGGGATTGATTTTTCAATAGGTAGAGAGCCAATGCTCGATTTCTGTGCCTTCCTCTTTTAGTTTCCCTAAAAAGGCGACTACTCCTATGACTTCCATGTTTGGCTTGAATACCACTAGTTGGTATTCACCTAAAGCAGTAGCAAGAAAATCCTGGAAATCATACCTTGCAAATGCCATCGGGGCGTTGAGATGCTCTTGCTACTAATGTGTGGCAGGAGTCTAGCCTCAAACGTCATCTCGAGCAGCATCCCAGAGTCATTCGGAAACCTCATCGGCATGAGAGAATTGTACGTGCTCAGGGAGTTTTTGTATTGATAGATAAATTCACACAAGACGAAGATATGCACAAGGCGACACCCAACAAGGAGAGACCCAAACTCCAACTGAGCGCTTTCGTAGTCACGCTATCTGTTAGATCGTAAGTTCCAATCTTTACAGGCTAGTATGTTTTCTATGCTTATTTGATGCGGCAAGCCTAGTTCATGCACTACTGTTTTTTGTGTCTTCGCCCCACCAGGAAACTCTACAACAACAGTTTAACTGGCAGCATTCCAGACTCCATCAGCAAGCTCGTAAAAATTGTAATACTGTATGTTCTCAGCTCCCGTTATCGACGTATGCTCCGTACCCATGTGCCATGTGGCCTCCCCCCAAAATTGTGACAATTATTTTGGACATAGGGTTGTGGATACATATTATCTAGAAAAACAAGAATTTGAATTAATAAATTCCGTGCATAGTGCCTTCTCAAGCACCAGGCGTGAAAGTGCTCGGTCATGGGGGTCATCAGCAATCTTCACACAAAATCCCTTCAGTGCTACCTTGGTGCATGTCTTTGTCTACGTGTTTGTGTGTTTTTGTGTGGCGTTGCATTGTAGGGATGTCAGCCAAAACTATCTCACCGGCCACCTCCCTCCAACAATCGGCAGCCTTTCCGAACTTTCGTACCTGTATGTCAATCCAATATCACAAGAAGGCCATCCACACATATTCTTGAGACAAGATCCATCAAACAGATGGAATCCCAATATTCTTCTCTAAACATTTTCAGGAACACCTTCTGTGCATGTGCAGAAACACAACTGCAACAGCAATTACATGCCCACCTGACAACAGCAGCTGTTTGGTCCCACAGAACACTTCAAGCGTTTTCTGCCAGCAGTGCCCTTCGTTCTGCTCCACCTGTGACAAGTCACCACCAGCACCATGTGAGGCCCAACACAATCATCCTCTTTGTTGTGTGAATTCTATCACCATTCGCAAGTCCGCATTCGTATACCCTCCTCTCAACTTCCCATCACCCTCTCTCCCCTCCCCCCCCCCCCTGCCTATCCCCCCTCCCTCCCCTTCTTCCTCTCGTGCCCCTTCCCCCACACCCTGGCTGATCCTAGCAAGAACCATTTGCAATCAACAGCTCGCCATGATCATGAGCCTTGTCTGGACCGAACAGCATGACACTTCCATGCTATCTCTTAGCAGCACTATTCTCTAGGCGCCTCACAGATCACTTCCTTTCTTGTACTTTCTCCTCAAATCTGAAATGCCTCCGCATCTCCTACCCTCTCCTGCCGTCCTATACCATTTCCAACGCCCACCTCCCCACATCCAGCCTCTTCCTCCCAGCCTCAACCCGGATCCTCTCCCTCCCAGTCTGGGGGTGGGCTGTCAGCAGGCGCCATAGCTGGCATTGCTGCTGCTGGCGGTGTGGCTATCCTCGTGCTGCTACTGCTGGGTCTGAAGCTGTGCAAGCGATGGCATACCAAAGGGGCTGCAGCTCGAGGCGATGGTGGCAGAGATGCAGACGGCAAGGCTGTGGCAGAAGAGAGTGTGCTCCAAGGTAAGATTCAAGTCAGGATTCTGATGCACGTTATGCCATTTCACCACTGATCTCCCCGTGCACACACCATTCCTTACCACTTTCACTACCTTCCAAAACAAGGGTTACCAGGGGAAACTTACAATGTGGAAGAGAGGGATCCAGAAGCAGCAGCAGCCGCGGCAGCAGCGGCAGCTGTGGCAGCAGGAGCAGCAGCAGCACGAGGGCAGGAGGGAGGGGATTTGGTGGTGGATATGGAGGCAGTGAAGCCGCAAGTGTGCCGGAAGTTCACTCTGGAAGAGCTGGCAAACGCAACAGCGGATTGGGCCGAGGTGAATAGGATTGGCAGCGGCAGCTATGGGGATGTGTACAAGGGCGTGTCTCCGTACGACCCAAATGAGACATGGGCTGTGAAGCGATCCAGGATTCTCTCCAATGACTTCCTCACAGAGGTGATGCCGCTTCTGGCCTTGCTCAAGCTGCTTTTTCCTAGTTTTTTTTTGTCTTCCCTTACTCTCTCTATCTCTTCTTCTGCTTACGTGTCCCTTTCCCCTATATCAGGTGAACGAGATGGCATCAAAGCACCACCCTCACCTGGTGCGTCTGCTAGGCTTCTGTGTGAACTTCGATCCGACCACGAGCCGCATGGAGCAGCTGTTGGTGTATGAGTTCATGGCCAACCGAGACCTGGAGAGCTGGATTGGACCTGGTGCTGCACATCTCACCGCACCCTTTAGTGTTCCCAGTTTTCCTCGTGTTTCTCAATCGTGCTCTGTGCATCTCTCTATAGTCTTTGTTCCTTGCCTTGCTGGTCAGAATAATGCACCATGTCTATGTTCGTTTCTAGTCTTTGTACGTTTTTCTAGCACTCTCCATCCCTGCTTCTCCATGGATCGTATGGCTCTCGCATTATTACCCATGCATATCCTCATATTTTGTGTAGTTTCTCTGCTTGAGTTCAGATTCATTTTTATATCGAACCAACCATCTATACAAAGATTCTTGCTTGCTTGTTGTCAACAGATCAACAGCCGAAGTACAGCCCACTGAAGAAGCTACCAATCTCTACTATCTAATAACAACCCATTTTGTCCCTTCACAGGTGCTCCACAGCATCTTTTGCTGCTGCAACGCCTGGAAATCTTAATTGGGGTGGCAAAGGGGCTGCAGTACCTTCACGATTTCGGTATTGTGCATCGCGACATCAAGCCTGCCAACATTCTCCTCGACACAAGAATGCAGGCATGTTAGGAATCCAAATTCTTCCAACCTAACTGGCCAGAGCGTTTATTCTATTTTATTTTCAATGCTTGCGTGCTCTTTGCTACAAACTTGATTATCCATACATGCATTTGGGATTGGTGGTCAGGCTAAGATTGCAGACTTTGGGCTAGTGAAACTCACTGGGGGCACCTCAATGGGCACATCTGTGGCTGCCACTCGAGTGATGGGAACACCCGGCTATGTGGACCCTGTGTATTACACGTCTCACAAGGCCTCTACAGCAGCAGACGTCTACAGGTGATCTGAGAGATGTAGCATGCTTCTTTCTAGCAGCTAACATGTGCGTGTGCATTTGCAGCTAGCGTATAGAATGCTCTGTCGAAACGGCTCTCATCAACCTCTTTTTGGGGCCACTTGATGCATCTGATGTTCGCTGTTGGCAGCTTTGGAGTGGTGATGCTGGTGGTCATCTCAGCACGCAAGGCTGTGCAAGTGAAAGGGGACAGCCAGATTAGCCTAAAGCAATGGGTGAGGCATTGTAGTCGGGTGCAAATGGACTTGCTGAGTCCTCACTGCAATATCTCTTGTGGCAACCTTTGTCCAACATGGATATGCAGTCAGAATTCTATTGTGTGACTGTTTTCAACTTGGTTGTATGTGTTTTATTTCAATCTTACAGGTCGCCCCATTCGTGGAGTCACGTGATGTGGCAGTGTTCAAGGACCCTTACTTGGAGGCACCGGATGATGTGGTGCTGCGCTTGGCTCGCCTTGCCCTCTCCTGTACTGCTATGCATGTGGCCTCCCGCCCATCCATGAACCAAATGCTTGGAGAGCTGGTGAAGGTCAAGCAGGAGATGCTCGGGGCGCTAGTGAACAAGGCGGTATCAACCATCAACATAGAAAGTGGGAGTTCCGCTAGCGGCCCCTCCGGCTTCACTGCTGAAATGGCCCGTGCGGAGCATGAGGGTGTGCAGAGTGGCTCCTCTACTAGCATGTCATAGGAGCGCATATTTTTTCTAAGGGCCATGCCAGTGTTCAAGCACCCTTTAACTCACCAGATGATATGGTGCTGCGTTTGGCTCGACTTGACCTCTTTTGCACTATTGTGTGTCTCCCATCCTGCCAGATGTTTGTAGATCTGGTGACTATTATTAGGGAGGAGATTTTGGGTGCAGAAGCAAACAGGGGTACATCTTGTGTTAAAAAAATGGATTTGATTGTTTGCGTAATTAGTATCTCGTTTGTAAGCATGTAGTTGCAAACATTAGATTGTCAAAACACTCTAGCGCCTGCCTTTCCACTCGAATGCTTTGTACACCTTGCTGTTCGCCACCCATTCATTCGCCCGTTCATCTCACACATTTCAAATCAAGCTGTTCCGTCCATCAAGTTCCACCGTCAGCTGTGTTCCATCAGCATTTTGAATTTCATTGCTTTCTTCAACTCATCAGCCTCCCTTAGTCAGATTCCCACAGGGCCATCCTTATATCGAGAGAGAATGCTCACTAGAGGGAGGTGGGTACATGAATATGACCAAGTGTTCTCCTCTCTATGAACTACCTCTAGCAAGGCTACAGTGTCTATATGAGCCTAACATATATAAATATATATATATTATATAAATTTATGTGCATGCTAACACACCCCCTAGCCTGCGTAGGGCCAGAGCCTAACAAGAAAGAGTAATCCAGGGCAGAACTACTAGTCCAGCATCTAGAGTATGTAACACAAAACATCTCAGGCCAACACCACTAGTCGGACCACTGAGACAAGGGTCAGAATGCCAAACAGCAAGTGTAACACGACAGCCGATATAGAGTAGCAAGTACAAGGCCGGTCTATTAGAGATCAGGATACAAGCAAAGACGAGGCAATTGAGACTAGACCAAGCTGAGTACAGAACTGCTGATGGTCATGAGGCCCTAGGGCCTTGGTGAAGATATCTACAGTATTGGCCTCTGAGGTCAACTGTACAACACGAGCTTGATCGCGCTGCTGCAACTCACGCTGCAGGAAGTACCGCAGCTGGATGTGCTTCGCCCTACCCTCAAGTCGAGCCTCTTGACATAGGAGGATAGGACCAAGGCAGGCCTAGGCCGCTCACCTAAGTCGGTGAGCAAGAACGTCAGCCAGTGGAGCTCTTGAGCGGCCATAGCCCCAGCGTAGATCTCTGCATCACAACTGGATTGAGCTACAGACGACGACCTAGTGGACCGTCACGAGACCACCTGCACCAAGACTAAAGCAATAGCCATGTGAGGACTTGAGCATCTCCATGTCATCAGCCCCCGACTCGTCTGTGTGTCCGGTGAGGACCACTGACTCCTGTCCTCCTAGCACAAGCCCAAGTCCTGATGTACTCGCCAGATACCGCAACACCCTCTTGGCAGCCAACCAGTGCTCTGGTCGGTGTCTGTCAGTCGCAACAAAGCGAGCAATGATATTGAGAGAATATGCCAGATCTGGACGAGTGCACATCATCAGGTACATGAGGCACCCTACCAGCTCCGCGTATGGACCACTAGGCTCGGCCTGCTCATCTGGAAACATGAGTTGAGAGCTTGTGGTCCACAGGCAGAGGGCTGGGCTGTGCTGACGAAAACAGAAGGCCAAACCGCTAGAGGATCCACTTCGCTATGACCTCCTTCTACAGGCATTCGGGGCCTCGTACAACTTGTGCGGAGGGAAACTGCAACCACACCTTCCAGACCCGCCGAGGCAACGAAAGTCTCTTGTGTACAAGCGAAGGTGCTGGGGGAAGGTTAGTGAGGATTCGGTCTGGGCAGACATAACAATAGTCTATTGCCCGAAATTGCAAATTAATTAGTTCGCTAAAACGATTTTCGAAAAATTCACCAACCATCGTCATCCATTTTCTTTTCTTGCATTGGACTTAGGTTATGGATGCGTAGCTCTGCCATTTTCTTGGGCGGAGTTTTGCAGCACAACACAACTTGTGTGGGGCTAAAATGGCCTCGAGAGGCCGTATGGGCCCACGCGCAAATAGTGCGACCTTTTACCTGGGTGGGATGTTGTGCAGAAGCCCCCCAGCACACAACTACACCCCTTGATGTTGGTGTTATGCAGGCATGAGGGTGTGCAAGTAACACAAGGAGGTATGGCTTTTGCCGAGCCCCGTCAGCTTATCACCGAACCTAGATAAGCTATTTTTGCTCATTACAGAAGTTTCAATTTCAGCAGGTTATCAATCCTGCCTACAGAATCGAGGCCCATGTGAGTATGGGAGAGTGTGATCATGTGCACGGCACAATCACAAGAAATCTCCAAGCCCAGATAGCACCGCAGCTCTCCCATGTCTAAACAGGCGTGTTGCTTGAGCAGCTTGGCCATCACTGAGGCTTGTGTGACTGTATTAGGAGAAGCAATGATGAGGTCATCTAAGTACAGAAGTATGTAGAATGGAGTCTAAGCAGGACTAACAAAGAGTGAGGGGTCGGCAGACAACGGGAAGAACAAAAGAGCGGTGAGTGTGGTGCGGAGCGTGTCGTGCTACTTGCTGGGCGCCTGACGTAGACCGCAGACAGGGCGGCGTAGGCTACACTGGGTCCTATGTGGGAAGGACCCAGTGAAGCCTAGTGGGCACCGCAGGAGGATCTGCTCGTGAAGGCTACCCTGCGAGAAGGTCATTGAGAAGCGTAGGGAGTGGAGCTCGTAGTCATCTGTGCAGTTATGTGGAGGAGCACCTGAAGAGTAGTCATCTTTAGGATAGGGGAGAAGGTGTGGAAGAAGTGCACACCCTCTCCCTGACAGAAATCTCTAGCCACATACCGCGCCTTGAACATTGGTGGCTCTCTAGATGGGTGCTTCATCTTATAGGTCCACATGCCATGGACTACGTTCGCTCCAGGTAGATGAATTGCGTCAATGTAAGTGCCAGTGGGTCTATAAGATGTCATCTCTGCCTCCATGGCCTATATCCACTAGGCTGCTCAGGACCCCGAGACTGCCTCAGCGTACGAGCGCAGGATAGAGATGTCTAGGGCGTCCGGTCACCCTTAGGGGATACAAGCATGGCGCAGAGATGAGGTACAGCAGCCGCAAGGAAAGCTAGCTCATACTACATATCCACTAGAATGTCACTGCCAAGGGAAGGTGCACCCCCGACGGACGGAGGACAGGCAGGGTCAGAGACCAGAACGAACGTGTAGTCAAGGTGGTGGCTTGTCGCAAAGTCAGCGACAGTAGGGACTAAGGCACAGACACCCTCTGGAGGAGCAGTAGATTCAGTGACAAGGGATGCATGCAAGCGGGAGACGAGCAGTGCGACCAGAGTCAATGAGAGGAGCAGGGGACAGGGGGAGCGACGACTAGGGAGGTAATGTCAGGACGGGGACTGGAGGAGCACGAGAATGAATGACCATAGGGTGGACACTAGCACGAGGAGAGACAGGACGACCACCAGGGGGACGACGAACCCAGTGGGGTAAGACGGGGGACGGGGAACGGGGGGGGGGAGGGGGATAGGATAGGGGACGGAGGAGAGCGAGGGGGGAAACGAGCCGGAGAGTAGTCGGGGGGGGGGGGGGGAGGGGGGGCAGTGGGCTGTAGACAGGGTCAGCCGGGTGGGGAGGCACAGCAGGAGGGACGGGCGGGCGGCCAGGGGAACAGGAAGAAAGCCAAGGAGATGAAGAGCAGAATGCGGTTGCTGCTACTGCTACTGCTGCTGCTGCTGCCGGCTACAGCTGTGGTTGATACTACCGCTGCTGTTGTTGCTGCTACTGTGGTTGATGCTACTGCTACTGCTACTGCTGCCGACCCACACCAGAACCCCCAGCTCCTCTACTGCTACCACCAAGATTATCTGAGCCAGCACCCCTAGGTCTAGTACCCCCAGAACTAGCACCCCTAGAACCAACACCCCTAGAAACTATACCCCCAGAACTAGCACACTCAAAACCCCCAGAAACTATACCCCTAGAACCAGCAACTTCAGAACCAGCACCCTCAGAGTCCACAACCTCCTGCTGCTACTGCTGCTGCTGCTGCGGAGGCAGTGGGGGAGGCTGTTACGGTGCCTGGGGTGCTGGGGCTGGGGGGAGGGACGATGCAGCTGCGGCAGGTGCACCCCCAGCCAAGGGGCCTCGAGATGCAGGAGACTCCCCTACAGGCCCAACCGAGGGGAGGGGAGTGGCGTAGGAGACACCCGATGGGGCCGGGCGGGGTGGGTAGGGAGCGGTAGGCGGAGGAGGGGCAAGGAAATGAGGCGGAGGAGGAATACAAGCACCGCAGTGAGCGAGCATAGAAGGAGACAGACTCATCGAACGTAGTGTCACAAGAGTGAAAGAAGCGGTGCTGTCTAGGGTGGTAGAACAGCTAGTCAGGAACATCGAGCGTGACCCCGTGGAAGACACGGGGGACAGTGTGGGCTGAGATATTTTCCGCGCCCTCGTGAGCCACGCAGCCCAAGACATGGAACGCCGACGCGTCACCGAGAGACCCAGTCCAGAGGAGGGTACCTGGGACTGCGAGGAGCGAGACCATAGGTTAAAGCCCGCGTCTCGTATTTCCTAGAGTATTATGCTCGGTTTGAAAATGGCGAGCTTGATTGGTGGGCGAGGTTCGAAAAGCAGGGGTGGTTTTGATGAGGGTAAAGAGGAACAAATAATTTCAGGACCAATAAAAAAAGCCAACACTTGGGAAAGCTCTGAGTCTCGCATTTCTGGCTTAGGGTTTAGGACCAATCAAAGAAATCGAATGGTTTTACAACCCAAAGGTCCGTGCCGTCAGGTTCGATTCGTTGGTTTGACATGTCACCCTCCCCACACCCCTCTCACAAGCATTTTTGGCCCTCCCTTGTTGGGAACCTCAAGTTACAAAGTACCAAGCGTATTACCTTTGATCCTAAACCAGAATTATGAGATACGGGCTTTAAGCTGGTGAGCCACGTAGCGCACTGTGAACGGCCACATAAAATTGGGTGCACTGGCATGGACCATGGAGGTACGAGCCACCTCCATGACCAAGCCTATGCAATGCTCAACTACCCCATTCTGCCACAGCAAGTCCGGAAGGGTGAGTTTCTGGGTGATGTCTCTGCAC